ACTTTTAATTTAGAGTAGAAATAAGGGTCATATAGTGGAACCTACATTGAGTGGAAACTGATTGGGGATTAGGACCCTGTTACATGTACTTGAAAAACAGTCAGAAATCTTACCATACATCAACCTTCTCAGAGCAGGGCTCATTTCTGATAACTTCAGGAGCCATCCAAGCAACAGTTCCAGCAAATGTCATCTTAGCACTCTTTTCACTGAATTCCTTACAGGTACCAAAGTCAGATATTTTGAGCAGGTCATCTGCACCAACAAGGACACTGAAAGAATATTAAACGCAAGAGGCTTGAAATCATCACAAGAATCTACCATTCAGCCTGTTCTCCTTAAATTCTGATTGGTACCCATGCAATTTCATCTCCTGTAATAAGTGTTACATTTAAAGAACTGTTTTTTTTTTTTTAATGAATGATTTATAAAATCCTTCCAAATGTGTAGGAATACCATATAGATGTGAATGTTACTGACAGTCAAATCTTTCCACAACAATCACCTCATGCACTGGTGCAAACAAAAGAGCACTTGTTGTAGGGAATTTGCCATCGTAGGAAGGTTGGGATGTAAAAGAAAAAAGCCAGTTTTGAACAAAATATAGTTTATTAAAAAAAAATGCTTAATGTACACTTCAAAACATATTAACTCATTCAAACTTGGGCAGTATAGGAAATCAAGAATTGGGTGTTGAAAAAAAATTGATAGGGTACAGAAAGTCTATCAGTTTGATGAGTATCCACTTTTATTTTCAATTTAATTGTATGATATAAAAAAATCATTGTGTGATCTTTGTAATACTTCAAATATACTAATTATATTGAATAAAAGGATTTCTTTTCTGAGAAATCTTAATTGTTACTTACTTTGGAGACTTCAAATCCCGGTGAATAATTTTGTGAACATGAAGATAATGCATTCCATCTGCAATTTGCTTTGACCACTTCACCAGTAAGGAAGGAGTGATTTGACGTCCATTACGTAAAACCTCATATAGTTGACCATTAGGACAAAATTCCATAACTATGCAGTGAACTGGAGCCTGGTTGCATATTCCTCTGAGTGAAAAAATAATATTTAATTCAAAATCATTCAGGAGCTGAATCAAATCAGTAATTGCTTACCTTTCACATTATGGCTACCCCAAACTAAAAATCTTTCTTCAAACTCTATATGCTGATCTTGGAAATGGAATTTAAGCCTTTTACTCTCAAGCTCTCATTACTATTTCTCCTTACTGTATACCATACAATTCTTCTGGTGTCAATTTGGAGAATTTGTTATTGGATCAACTAATAATCCCCTAATTGATAATTCTGTTTACTCTCATCTTTATTCTCTTGTGTGGTTGATATTGTGTTGATATTTTAATGAGAAATTATGTCTTGGTCACTCCTGGGAGGGGAAGAGTTAAATTAAGCTGAAAAAGTTATATGAGGTAGGGAGGGTAAAGTCTGACACAAATTGTAAGAGGAAAGACAACAATGGAATAAAATCATGCATAGTCAGCTTCTCTCACAATTATTACTGCTGATCAAATTTACAGAAATCAACATATCAACATCACCTGGTACAGTGAGTCACTAGCTTAGCCCTTTCAAACTCAAGAGTGATCAAGACAGATTTTCTCTTTAGAATGTCAATAAAAAATCAAGCAGACTAGTGATGAGAACGAAGAACAATATCAATTAGGGGAATATAAGTTGTTCCAATGATAAATTATCGGGAGTGAAATGGTTGAAGTGATTTCCTTCGTTACAATTACCATACATAAAGACAACATTAAAATTATTCTTTTAACATTATAATCACTTGCTTGCGAAGGCAAAATTATTCTTTCATCATTATCATTTGCTTGCG